GAGACAGGGAATATTTTAAGGAGGAAAACAGCGTTTCTAACAATTACCAGCAACTCTGTCTGTACCTTGGATTAAGCCAGAAGAGTGGCAGTTTTCACTTGAAGGCTTGCCCGAGTCCTGGAGGTGCAACACTGGATTTGCATCAGCAGTGTAAGGTTTTGTACAGTCTGCATGAGGCAGTGTGTGCCTGCCATGGGGCTTGGCTTCCTGCAGCCCTGGGCCGCTCTGCTCCACTGATAATAAACTGGTGCACAGAATCCTGCAGCATTTTATGAGTCCCAGTAATGAATATCAGCTGGAAAAAAGCATAACAAAACCCCATCCTGCTGACCACAAAGCAAGCAAGGGAGAGAGAGGGAATCACAGAATAAACCCATGAAGAGTCAAAACCAGAATCTGGATCAATAAGGGCCACACCTTTTTGGATGGCAAAATCCCCTGGAAGGGTACATGGGAAGGACACTCCTGCAAGGAGAAACCTGGGAACGTTCTCCTGCATGGACAAGCCCGTTCTTGTTTTCTTCTGAACAGCACACATGCCAGTAACAAGGGGTGCTGTGGTGGTAACTTACTGTTAAAGGAATGGGAAAGGTCTTCCCCATCATTTCTGGTTTCTTGCAGAGTTTCAAGTGTTCTGTTTCTCAGCAGCACACAGGTTCCTAGGTTGTCTCCTCCTTGCCTGGGTGGCAATTACTGCAGGGGCTGTAATGCTGCCATGAAACAAGTGTTCAGTTTCCTATTTTTGTGAGCAAAAAGAAAATCTGCTTTTAAAACGTTCACTGCTTTTTAATAAAAACGTGTGTTCCTACCCACTGACTAAGAAATGAGGCAGTTTGGGTGCAGGGAAAATACTTCTCTTTTTGAGCAGAGGTGTAAATTTACTCATGTTGACCAAAGCTTTGCATATGCAGGCATTTAATGTCTTGCACAGTTTTCCTGTGAACATTTTAAAGCTGATGAGATTAATCCTGTGAGTAAAGTTTGTACTGCTGGTGATCTCAGGTGGCTTTTCCTCTCAGACTGAACATTTACACCCCAAAAATGAGAGTATAAAATCCTTCAGAACACAGTTCTAGCATCAGTTAATCTTAGAAAAAATACTGCCAACAGTAGGCTTTCTTAAAGTAGATATTCTTCCTCATTGGGATAGTAAATAAGCTACAAGTAGTTTGAATCTTCTTGCACCTTCTAAGAGTTTTACTCCCACATTTTCCTGTTTTCTTAAGTATTTTTCTACTATGTTGTGGTTGTGCAAAACCAACATGAGGCCTTGATTGTGCAAGAAGCTCAGTTGGAGCTCAGCTCTGTGTGCCACCCAGAACCCTGTTAAAGCCACTGCATTTGAGAACAAAATTCTTAGCGGAATTGGGGCCTTAACATATTGAACACACAGGGGGCCTAAACTATTATTTTGCATAGATAATTAAAAAAAAAATCCATTGTACTCCAGTTCTATCTCATTTCCTATTTGTGACAATAGCAGGCAAAACATTTCCAGGTTGAAGCTTTTTTAAGTTGGAAAGGTGTAAGATGAGTGGTGTAGGACTGGACCAACTGTGTGGGCAAGGCTGAGAGTAAGGAAAACTTTCCCTCTGTGGTCAGAATGCCTAAGGAAAGCCTGGTTTAAAGTCTTTTGTGTCTCATTTTCTCCTTTTTATTGCACCCTAGAACTGTATAAATATAGCAGGCGATGCCCACAGCTGGAGTAAAAAACCTAGGTGTCAGTTCTCAGGAAATACATGAATTCAGTGCAGAAGGGCTGGGCTCCATCAGTGCACAACAGATGAACCTGTAAATGTGTATGTGCAGCCCCATAAATGAATTGTAGTTCCCTCCACTGCTTTACACTTCGGTGCTCATTGCTCCAAACTTCAGAAGTGTTCTGCCCAGTAACCCAGGTGCTTGAGTAGGTCAGTGCATGCAGAGTTGGCCATCAGCTGGACAGCTGAGCCACCCCCAAGAGCCTGGGGGCTCTTCTGTCATCCTGGCATGCTGTGAGCTCACTGTTCTTTTGGTAAGAAAGAAATATTCCCTGTAGTCCTTTCTCAGTGTAAGCCTGAAAATGAGAAGGGAGGACCAGGGGACCCACGAGGGAGCTCCTTGTTGTCCTTTGCAGAAGATCCAGTGTTTCCTGCATATTGCTGCGGTTTTGCAGCTTGCTGGGAGGCGGAAGGGTGCACTGGGAGGATAGTCCCTGCTGCCTGGGAGAAGTGGGGGATGCTGGTGTCACACAGCTCCCTCCAGATAACAGTGGTTGGGTTAAAGCACTCAGTCCATCCGTGTTGAACACGGTGGTAGGAGTGCTGGTGAGATGGCTGTTGACTTTCCAAGTTCCTCTTACCACTGAGTCCTGACCATTAACAGAAGTGTGGGGATTCCCTTAAGGTTTGGTTTTTCATTTTCTGTTCCCTTTTTCTCCTGTGTCTTCGTTTTCCTTGGCCTTGAATGACAGCCTGAGCTCTGAGTGTTTCTAGTTTTAAGGTCCTAACTTGGATCCAGGTGCAAGTTTTCTTGATCACTTCTCTATACTAATACAACAGTTAATACAAATGCTGGCAGCACTTAGTCCCACACTTGGAACCCGGTCACTTTGCTAATTTTACTTTTAAAATGGTTTTCATGTATTGCTGCCATCAAGTTATACAAGTGTTTCCTTTGCCAGTTTTGCCTTTGTGTCTTACAGCCTTCTTCATTTCTGTTCTCCTCCAGTGTTTGCAGTGCACTTGTGTCTCCTGCTCTGCACGATGCTGTTGACCTCATTAACAGTTAAGGCTGTAGTTGGTTGCACAAGCCACCTACACATAATATTTTCTAATTATTTGCAGTGGTCTTACAATCTGTAGCTGCTGACGTCCCTGAAGCAGGAGAATAATTAACACTTCTCCACAGTCCCCATTTTGGGCTTCAGTATTTGCTCTTACTTTCAACTTCAGTGTCAAACCAGTCCAGGGACTGAATCAGGTTGACATTTTGCCTCTTTGAGTGAAGTGCTTCATCCCCCTGGAATATTTTGGGGTTTATAAATGTAAATAACAGTATCTTAGTTTGCATAGCTCCTATAAACTCAATCTGCCTAATTTTTTTAAGGAAGTAATGGATGTGTACCTTAAAATGTTATTGGTGCTATTGCTTGGTATACAGCAAGCCTACAAAAACTTTCAGTTTGACTTATTCTTTAAAGGGTTTTGATGCAGCAACTGAAAAGGAGGTTTTTTTTGTTCTCCTTCATGAACCAGTTTTCTCCTTTAAAAGAAAAAAAAAGGAAAAAGAAAAAAGGTTCAATTTGAAATTGAATCCTTTGAAGAAGTCTGGTGGGATTTTAAAACATTTTGTCTTAGATAAGAAATATCTAAGCATATTTACTTCATGCTTTTTTAATTATGTTAAAAATGTTCTTCCAGCTTTTGGTGGCAAATTATTTTTGACCTTTTGATTATATTAAAATATACTACAAAGTATATTGAATTGAAATTTAATTCTATAACATATATAAGTAAAAAGTCTATCTTGTGTTATAATGCACACATATACATAAAATACTGTGTAAATAACAGAAAGAAAAACATTAAATATTGACTGACTGAAATGTCCTGAAGATCTGCACTCTAAATGGTTTTATAGTTTTTCACTGCATGCAAAGAAAACAAAAAAAAAAAAAAGAAAAGGAAGTTATGTTTTATGTTTCCATTTGTAGCAGTTTCATGTTCTGATATATCAGCATTATTCTTGAAATGGAAAGTTTTCGATAAACTCTGTGGTCAGCCAAGATTATTTATGATGTATTTGTTCCTGCTTTATTGCCCTGACATCTACTGCAGGAGCAATTGATTCTCATTAATATATAAATAAATAATATGCAATACATATATAAAAGGACATTACTCCATTTAATTCAGAGTAATCAGTCCAAATTTATGACACCAAGCCATCAGTATCTGACCTTGAGATTAAACATGTTTTTGGTAACCATGCAGCGTTTTTATTTCCAGTATTCCTGCCATTATCAGTGAACTGAACCAGTGTCAGGAGATGAAATACATTCTGTGATGTGGATTTTGAATATTTATCTGTAAATGTGTTAGGGAGTGAAACTTGTTAAATGTTGCTTTAATTTGCAAGAAGTATGTGGTTCTTTAGCTGGTGAAGAACCTCACTTTTTCTTTCTTTTTTTTTTTTTTAAACATGGATTTATAGGCTATCCTGTAATTTTCACTATTTGTGTAAAACATTTTAAATGGTGAGTAAAAATTGCCCATTGGCAGCGCTGAGGTGGAATTGGAAAAGCCAAAGGGCATCTCTACCCACTCAAATATTTCAGACTCATGTCACCTTGTTAAGGCATGCACGTTTACGTCACTGTAGAGGCTTTTATATTTTTTGATATGGAGCCTTTTGACCTTTGGGAGTGTTGAACTATTCCTCCATTGGCTACGACCTGGCTTCACACTGGGAATTTCTGGCAGCTGTGCTTAATACGGACAAAAATGGGTGATGGCTGGGAGTGATTATTGCAACACTGCTGCCGTTGCTGCAAACAGCCTGTGCAAGTGTCTGCACGTCTGCGCGGGTCGTGCTTTTCGCCGTTTCAATATCGCTGAGAGAGCGAAGACATTGTTTGGATTGCTTTGGGGCCAGCTGAGGAACAGGACAAGAAGAGAAACCAGAGCATGGAAAAAAACCCACCCCTCCTAGTAAAATGTCAACCCATCTTCTTGCTCTGCTCCCGGGGATTAATGGCAGAGGCAAATGCCCTACAGACATTAAAGATCTGCCACAAACCTGATTGAAATCAGGGAGGACTTTTCGCAGTCTTTGGGTTGGACACCATTTCATGGGAGGTTAATATTTTGTAAGGTTTTGGTTCAGTGTTTTACATTTGCAGCAAGGTCTTCGTGTTGCTGCTTTCTGTGAAAATAAACTGGTTATAATGTAAAGTGGCTGAGTGACCTGAAGCACTGGTAGAAACTAATAATTCTGTCTGTAAATTTTCTTTATTGCAGGCTGCAAACAGTTACCTGAGGGATCAGTGGTTCCATTCTTTGCAGTGGAAGGTAAGTTCTGCACTTCATTGTCTTCTTCCTCTGCCTTTAAGTGTACTTTTTAGAATTCCCTATTCCTTCATTGTAAGAAGAACTTTATGCACCGAATGGGTAAAGTCCTTCTGTTACAGAAACCCTAAATAAGAACATGTATGCAGTCTCCACTTGTTCATGTCATGAAGTGGAAATTCTGTTACACAGCCCAGCTTTATCAACATATGACTGTCTTCAAAAAGTAGATAGCCAGTAAATTCACATTTAGACAGAATAGAGATAGGGTGGTTTTAGTTTTGTACTATGACGTGCAGTATGTTACAGAGCGAGTTCACCTATCATATCCTCTGGACTCTTGGGATATTTTGAGGTTTTTTGTTTGTTTGCTTTTTCTTTTTCTGAGAAATTAGGGAGAAAGAGTGTCCTTTAGAGTTGCTTACTGTATGTAGCATCAATCTGTTATGCATCAGTCTATGTTTATGCTTTAGGATGATTTGGAATTAAAAGCAGTTTCCATTTCAGAGACCTCAAGCCCTTTCTCATTTCCAGTGGGAACAATGGACTGATTGCCTTGAGTAGGGAAAGTGGATCACAGTGACAACATTGTCTCTCAAAAGCAGCACATTCCTTATCAAAAACCGTAGCTGCTGACCTTTGGATGGAATCTGTATCGATCTTTGATGCAGCTGGAAATAAGTTTTGGCCAGATGTTGAACATGGCTGTCCTCCCTTGTCTTGTGGTGGGAAACACAAGCAGTAGCTTTTCAGCTCAGGACTTGTCTCCAGCAGGGTTTCAGTGAAGTCAGCCAAGTTGGCTGTGTAGCTTATCAGGATTTCAGCCTGCTGACAGCAACCACATGTGAAAATATACGGAAGCCCCTCCCACCAAACTGGTTTTGTTGTAGGTGTGTTTGATAGTTGCAAAATAGTTGCGTGGCAAAACTACAGTGTTGGTGTGCTTTGTGTAGCCATCAGTGTCTGGCAGAGTCGTATTCTGAGCGGATCCAGGTTCTTATCAGCAAAAGCCAAGTGTTGAGATCTCCTTTTCCAGACCACTGGCATATTCTCCAGCCCGTTACCCTGATTGCCTAAATGAGCGTGGGACAGTAGTGCTGATAGCAGAAGGCTGGGCTGTGGTGCAGCACTTTTATTCTGGCCTCTTGACAGTATCATTAACACAATGCCCCACCAGCCTTGCTTTCCCTGCGACTCCTGAGGATAACAAAGCACTTAAAGCGTGCAGAGACGGGATCTCTGTGTGGCCTGTTATTTTCCCTCCTGCTTTGGCAGGCGAGGATGATCAGAGAAAGCACAGGCAGAAATTTTGATGGCATTTCTTTTTCTTCCTCACCTCCAGCTGGGATGGCTGTGGTGCCAACGTGCTGGTGGCTTATGCCCACTTTGTTGCTGCAGTGAGGGGAAAATTGGGGTCAGAGGTGCAACTCTAAAAAACCCCGAGTAAGGTGAGGTAAAGATGCAACCTGGCCACTACCATTCACTCTATCCATTAAATTATTAAAAAAACAAAAAAGAAAGGAAGAAAGAAAGGAGAAAAAAAGCCTAGACAGAATGACCTGGCTTGCTCACATGCCTTTTGGTCATGGAGAGGGAGCTTTGCTCTGTGGGAGTTGTTTTTAAAGGAGTATTTCTTAAACTTTCCAGTGCTTCTGACCAAGCCTCTCATTTTGGGAAACTCTGAGTAATTTAACGTGGTGCAAAGTAGAATTTATTTTTGCTTCCTTGCTTCCCTCCACGCCCCCATTAAGTTTGTTTCTGAAAAACAAGTGAAATATTATCTTGATTTGAAAGACCTTCCCTTTACCAAGAATAGCAAGTAGCTTTTTCCCATAAGAACAGTGAAAGGGTTTAGTCACTGGCCAGGTACTTGACACTAAGAAATTCCTCTTTGCTAAAATGGAGGTAGTTTAGGTGGGTTTTGTTGCTTAATAATTCAGAGGAAGAGCACCTTTCTGCTCTTTGGCAGGTTTAAGTGAGATCACAACGGGACAAAGACAGAGGACAAGCTGTCTAGGAGAGTGAAGTGCAGTTATGTGTCTACCTTAGTGAAGTTTATCACTTTCCTGGTATCACAGCTTTAAGAGCCAGGTGCCAAAGTTCATCTCACTCCATAATTTGTATGGTTTGATGATTAAGCAGGTAGTGAGGGAACCCACAAAAAACAGGAAGCCTATTCTTCTGGAATGGGTCATTTACACAAAGCACCAGCTGGCAGAGAGATCACTGCAGCTGTATTGTAATTGGGTGGTTGTGCTGATGAATGATATATTTGTCCAGTGGTCTTACAAATAATAGGTCAAAACATTTCTGCGGGCATGTGGAACACAGATGCAAACTGGTGCTGAGAGCTGGTCAGGGGAAAACATTCAACAGAGATGAGTTTGCTGTTGTTTGTACTTGTGTGGTGGGAGCATTCAGGGGGTCCAGCTGAACCCAGGGCCCCACTGCATTAGCCATTAGATGTAGGGGGAGCAGGAGACCTTGGCTTCCCCTGCCCTGCCCAGACAAGGCTGGAGGAGCCCATTTTACAGATGGCAAACTGATGGTCTGAGAACTCCAAGCAGTGGGGATTGCCCCTCCTTTAATTACAATTGTGGGAGCAGATTGATGCTCTGTCAGTGTCCTTCTGGCTCCTTTTCCTGTGCTTCAAACCTTGGGAGTCAGATGCTGCGTTTACTCTGAGCTACTTGGAAAATGGCTGAGTCCAGTGGATAGCTATAGCTAAATATTTGGGGAAATGCTTTAGGTTCAGGCACATACTTACTGGTTATCTCTTGGTCTTGCATGAAGGTGCAGGGTCTGTGAGGGGGCTTTTATGTGGTGCAGTTTTAAGGTTTATCACGCTGTGGGAATTCAGTTTGCCAGCCGGCACCCTGGAAATCATTTTTGTTCTAGAGACAAACATTGAAATAAAAATCAAGAATAATTTCTTTCTGCAGCCCAGAGAATAATAGAAGAGATGCTAAAGATAAACAGAAATAAAAGAAAACCAAACACGTAATTATCCATGTTTTAGATCCAGCTCCAAGAGGTTTTATGTGTCATCCAGCTAACTAGCTGTCAAATGCTTACACAGCTATTTAGATGCATCTTTCTCCTTGAATCCTGTGCTCACTGGAGAGTCAGCAGGGATGTAGGGACAAGAGTGAGTGTTCCTTATGTAGTCATGCTCTCCTTGGGTTTTCCATTTCAAACCCTCCCACTAAAATTACTCATAATTCCTCATTTAATCTGGATATCAGTTTGTATCAGAACTCCTAAAGGATTATTGGCCACCTCAACCTATTTTTAGAAATCCTGATTTCCTTTGGGTTATAGCTAAGCCAGACTTTGTCCAGAGAGTAAACAGAACATGCTAACAGCTCTCCAGCTCCTCAAACATAAACAAGTCAATAATCCATTGTGCAAGAAACGTTCCTTTCAACCAAGGAGGTTGGATTGAAACCATGATACATAATCTTTGGTATTTGGAAGCTGATAAGTCATAACATTGTATCAATAAAGATAACAACACTTTCTGTGAATATACAAAAGAGAATAACACATGCAGTTCATTGCCCTCTCTGGATCTGGGCTGGATCTGGATGCAGTGGTGACCAACCACTGCTGTAGGGGATGGATACAGCTAAGCTTGGCTTTGAGGGATACTGGGACTAGTAATTTTGGGACACACACAAATAAGCAAGTATGTACCCCTGGCATTTCCCCAACCAGCATCCATCTGCTTTGTTGCCTGTTTATGTGTTGCTGTCTTTGGGCTTAAGACTTTCAGTGTATTTGTTGTGCTGAGCACAGAGAGGTACCATCCTCTGTAGAAAATGTGGAGCCCTTCTACACCTCATGCTTAAAGTATTAGTCATTAAAAGACACACTTGACTAATTTAGTACCGTGTAGCACTTGAATTAGAAAGATGTCAGAGAGGTCTTTTCACGGAGACCTTTAGGTCTTCTCTTGTGGTGCAAAGTACAGGTCTGGATTTACATTTGTTGGGGGAAATACACCTGAGGTCACACAGGGCGTGTTGCATTTTTTATCGTGCTTGATAGTAAGCTCTGAACACTGCCCTCATTGTGGGATGAGTGGCTCGTGTTTTCTAGTTAGCTGAGTGATGCAGCAGTGAAACATGCCAGTTGACAGCCTTTGGGGGAATGTCCTGAATTGACACAATACAGAAAGAACAGACCTGGGTCCACAGGAAAGCATGAAGCGTGACTCAAACTGAACTTTGTGTGATGTGGATCTTCTAGAAAGGCTTGCCTATACCTTGTGTTTCCCACTGATGCTTTTAACCAGTGCTCCTGTGTCCCCTAATGACTACTACTGCTTGGTTAGGGGGTTTGCATGTCTTAGCAGGGACAGTGCAAATGTGTTACTTGTGGAATTGTTTAGGTTGGAAGGGACCTTTGAACATCACCTGGTCCCCTCCCCACCCACACCACGCTTCTCCTCACACAATGCAGGGTTTGCTTTGAGGCTGTGTGAGGTTGCTGAGAGCCTGTACAGCCAAGCTGTGAAGCCCCAAACCAGGCACAGAGTTTGCACGTGGACTCACAAGTGCTGAGCTGAGGGGAACAGCCCTGTCCCTCATCCTGCTGACCATGCTCGTGCAGCCCAGCATGCAAACACACCCCTGACTTGCAGTCAACAGTCACATTACCTTTGTTTCAGAGTTCATTTTCTACCCCAACTCCATGTTTTGAATCCCATGAATTAGGAAACTAGAACAATGTTGTCATCTGGGATTTGCAAGCATTTTGCATTGAATACTAAAACAAGCAGTGTTGGCCTTCATTCAAAAACTTTAATTTTGGATTAATATTTCCCTGGTTCTCATAGGGATTGTTCTATCTGTGTCTTCAGGAAACAGATACTTCCATGCACAAGCAGCCCTATTAATTGCAAAGGGATTGGCTGTCAAATAAAGTCATACTTGACCTGAATGACAATACTGTGTCCAGGTTATGAGTTCCTTGTCCATTAGTATTGAATATTTTTTATA